GATTTCTTTTAACTCGGATTATGATCCCCAATCACCATACATTATACAGGGTGATTCAAAAAACCGTTGACAGACTTCTAGAGTAGATAATACTTGACAAATTAAGATGAATAGTCTTAATATACATGGGGTCGTAAATGCTTCGTTGGCGAAATATAGCGGATCAAAGTTTCTTTAAAATTAAATATTATCTGCTATAAAAAGCACTTTTTCAAAAATGTTGTCTACGCCATTGCTCTCTACACGTGTGAAGTGATCAATTATCTATCAATTGGTCTCTTACAAAACTTTGATCAAAGCAATAGTTTTTAAGAAAAACACGTTTGCAACAGACCAATTGATAGATAATTGTTCACTTTACACGAAAATACTGCCCGTTTGACAAAATTGGCAGTGGAGTTGAAAATATTTTTAAAAAAGGGCTTTTTATTGCAGATAACGTTTAATTTTAATGAAACTTTGACCCGCTATATCTCGTTAAGGAGGCATTTACGACCCCATGTATATTAAGACTTTTCATCTTAATTTTTGATGTATTACTTGCCATAGAAGTCTATCAGCGGTTTTTTGAATCACCCTGTATATAAATGTTTCAGAATTTTGATTGATACTGGCGCTTCTAAAAGTTTAGTAACAGAAAAATTATATAATGATATGCAAGATTTTGCCACAGAAAATTATTTTTGTATTCAAACTGCACATGGTGTTGAAAAAGGATCACGAGCTTTGAATGTTCCATTACCGGAAATATTCAAGGAACCTGAGGAAAGAAAATTTTTGTTCTTTTGCTTTAATTTTTCGGATAGCTATGATGCTTTGATAGGAATGGATATTTTAAAGGAGATAAAAGCTAAAGTCAATACGCAGGAAGAAAATCTAAAAATGCGAAAACACAAAAACCTTATTATACCAGACTGACAGAACTTCGTTTATTACCACATTCATCACAAATTATTGAATGCAATGTCAACAATATGAAGACTGGATACGTGATGATACCCAGAATGATTTAAAAATTGGAAATGGAGAAAATACAACTTTGTTTCCACTTACTCTCGTAAAAGTTTCAAATGGAAAAACTTATGTTCAATTAAATAACATTCTTTGTCAAGAATAGAGTTATCAAAGACAACGGTATTGAACCAAATGTCACTGTACAGGGTGTCCCAATTTCGTTGTCCACATAGGCTATTTCCGAAACTAAACGAGATAGAAAAAAGTAGCTTACACGTCATGATCTCGTTTTTCGAGAAAATACTAATGCCGAAAACTCCGAACAGCTATCGTCTTTTGTTTTCGCCCTATCGGCAAAAACTGAAAATTTTGCGAAAACGACAATCGCGAATATCTCACTTATTATTAAAGATGGAGTATTATAAATAAAACATTATATGGGCAACTTTTTACGAAGAATTCAGTGGCGTAGGTAGAATTTTTTTCCCATCTTTTATTTTCGAGATTTTAGACGTAACTTTATTTTTTAAATGAAAGCCATAGTTGACTATGACCTAAAATAATTTGTTATTTTCTTCTGATAACAAATATATATAGTTTGTGGGGTATATTTCTTATAGTTATTGAATAATTAACAAAAATTCATTTTGTTCTATCTAAAACTAATGTATGTATTTAAAAGTTAATGTTACTATGGTGATAACCATAACATGATGGAAAACATTGTTTCCAATTATTGCCAAAGTTTGTAGTAGTATTTAAAAATTAACTAACAACTCTGGCATTATGTGCTGGTGCTCTGTCATATTGAAAATATATCATTTGAGACTTATTTAATGGCAAATTGTCGACCAAAGTCACAATGTGCTGCCTTGATATATTGAGGTGTTACCTGAGTTTAAGTTTTTATGGTAGATACTATATGCCAAAATTCTATTATCTAAAAGGGCACACCATACATTGAACCCCAACCTTCTTTGAACACTCAGAGACTTCATCGGTCCAGATGACATTTTGAACAAACAGCAGATTATTTAATTTTTCTAAATATCATCTACAAAATTCTAATCTTAGATTGACATCTCCGGCCGTAAATAATGAGTTAGCCCCGCTTTGTATGGTTTATACATATGTTTCTTTCATATTCGGGATCAGCGGCTTTTGGGTCAGACGTCTTGTTCAATTTCTCTGCAAGATGTTGATGGATTTATCGCAAGTGAAGCCAACACATTGACTTCTTCCTCTTGCAGGCCATTTTGGTATGTTTTTGCACGTGGTTTGGGGAAGGACCAAAAATCTATTAAATTTTCTGCTAACCGGCTGAAGGTTCTTACGTGCGGTTGTCTTCTTTCCGGATACCTTGTGAAATATAATTCCGCGGCTAACGTCGCATTCTTATCTGATAACATATAGCATTCCATCATGTTACATTTTTCATAATTTTCGAAATTCATTGTAAAGTTTTATTCAGTTTTGTTATACTTTGACACCTAACATGCTGGTGCATCGTACCAGCACATAATGCCAGAGTTGTTATCGAATTTTTAAATACAAACTTTGGCAATTATTTGATACATTATGTTCCATTATAGTATGTATGGTTATCACCATAGCAACATTAACTTTTAAATACATACATTAGTTTTAGATAGAACAAAATGAACTTTTATTCATTATTCAATAACTATAAGAAATATACCCTACAAACTATATATATTTGTTATCGGAAGAAAATAACAAATTATTTTAGGTCATAGCCAACTATGGTTTCCATTTAAAAAAATAAAGTTACGTCTAAAATCTCGAAAATAAAAGATGCGAAAAAAGTTCTACCTACGCCACTAAATTCTTCGTAAAAAGTTGCCCATATAATGTTTTATTTATAATACTCCCTCTTTGATAATAAGTGAGATATTCGCGATTGTCGTTTTCGCAAAATTTTTAGTTTTTGCTGATAGGGCGAAAACAAAAGACGATAGCTGTTCGGAGTTTTCGGCATTAGCATTTTCTCGAAAAACGAGATCATGACATGTAAGCTCCTTTTTTCCTATCTCTTTTAGTTTCAGAGATAGCTTATGCGGACATCGAAATTGGGACACCCTGTACAGCCCGTGGTAGAGTTCGAAGATAAAATAAATTTATGCTATAATTATGAAAAACTCGAAAATCTACATTCCAAACACAAAGAATCAATTGAAAAGTATCTATCAAACGAAAGATCATTAAATATCGAAGAACTAGCAGTATTACGAGTAATGCTATAAATTTTAAAATCTGATACAGATAGAAGGACAAAAGTTAACGTTTACGCATATCATATATAGACATAATACAGGAAAGCATATCCCCGTGATCAGTCCCCGTCCACATAGTAATCCAAGAAAGAGACGGAAAGTTAAAGAAGAGGATGGTGATTGACTACAGAAAGCTTAACGCCAAAAGATAGATATCCTATACCAAATATTGCGGATATTTTAGATCGCTTGGGTAGATGTCACTATTTCACTTCCTTAGACTTGGCTACTGGTTATCACCAGGTTTTGATGAATGAGAAAGACTCTCCCAAAACTGCTGTCTCCACTGAACAAGGCCATTATGAGTTTAGACGCATGCCTTTTGGATTGAAGAATGCTCTAGCGACGATCCAACGTCTTATGGACAGTGTATTGCGCGGATTACAAGAAAATGATTGTCTCGTCTACCTTGATGGTGTTATTATTTACTCATCGTCTCTCGAGTCTAATTGAAAAGCCTCCACCACAAGCGACCTCGATTAAACTTAGATTGCCTGATTAAACCTAGGCAAAGAACATATATAGCTTGATGAAGCGTAGGTCACTTACGGCCGAGGCGTTGCTGTAAATGTCATCCAGATTCAGGTTGATATTGTATTAATTGCAAAGCCTCGATCCCAAGCAACATCGGATAAACTTAAATTGCGTGATTAAATTTAAGCAGAGACATATCATATTGCCTGATCAAGCTGAGACTGCTTGCGGCAGATGCGTAAATGTTATCCAGATTCAGGTTGATACTGTAATAATTAAAGTAAAGCCTCGGTCGCATACAATTTATGCTAAACTTATATTGCCTGATTAAAGTTAGGCAGAAAATATTGAGATGGCTTGCGGCCGAGGCGCTGCTGTAAATATCACTTAGATTCACGTTGATATGGTATTAATTGTAAAGCATCGACTACAAGCAACCACGAGTCAACTTACATTACTTGATTAAACTGAGGTAGAGATTATATTGTGCTGCCTGATCAAGCCGATTCAGGTTAATACATTTAATTATAACTTAGCTTGCCTGATTAAACTTAGACAGACACATATCATATATTCGCATCAAGTCGAGGCCGCTTCCGGCCGATACGTTGCTCTAAATATTATCCAGGTTCAGGTTGATACGGTATTAATATTAAAATATATCTACGAGGTAAAATTGATTAAATCCATGTTATCAGTGGAGAAATAAATGGTCTATATATAGAAAATGACCAAATATTAAAATAGCCAGGAAGGGAAAACAGAAATTCGGAAATATTCATCTTAACAGCCCGGAGGATGTGAACGGGTCAAAATTAAAATTAAATTCCCCAAAATATTTCTGCGCCTTCTACAAATATTTTCGTGGTGAAATCGGGTTTCTTCAACCTTTACGAATCGGATGATAAGGTATACAACCAGGGAATACGTCGTCACTGAGTATCGAGTTTGAGTAAACACGACTCGCAATCAAACTTTGTCCTTGAGCAAATATAACAGTTCTACATAGCGAGTGCTTCAATATTAGACTGTATTTGCATATTGCCCGATATCAATGCAAATGCGGTTACGAAACACGATTATACATAAATTAATATATCAGGTACCTATAACCTTTTGGGTTAATCGAACGTTCCGGATAATTCAGCGATATCAAATAGTGTTAGATATCCTTTACAATTGCAATTCAATGATTGTAATTGGTTTATTTAGTCTGCACTACTGTGGGATTATCAATTGTAAACATTTTTTTAAATTTAAATTAATTAAACAATTGAGTACTATTTAATAATTACAATTTATTGATGTACATTAAATTGTTGTATTCTTGATCCGTATCCATTTGCAGTTTTAGTTCCACTTTAGTCGCCACAACAAGCTAAAATTAAAAATAAAGTCCGATTCTTTTGGTAACTTGGTTACTTTATTAAATTAAAATTTCATACCATCGTTTGGAACGCATGAGTCACAACAATAGCAAAGCCCATCATATGCTTTGAATGTTTCGTTCGCAAGACAATCTCCTGGTAATTGCGGTGCACATCGAACGGTTGTACAATAAACAGGATCACAAGGTGGGCATTGCCAACGAGATTGTACAACCATAACCATAGTTATTAGAAAAAGAAATGTGACGAACTTCATCTTGAAGATTTGACTTTGGAACTGTACGACCACTTTATTACCTTTTCTTTTATATCAACCACGAAGTCATTAAAAATGGAGTTAATATATGATTCGTGACTATTTAAAAAGCAATCTTATCTTTTATTGTGGTAAATATTGACCAATATATTAATAAGAATGTTTATGCACACTTAATCATGTTTATCTAAAAACGTATACCAACTATTATATAAGTCGCTTGACAGGTTTATTTAAGTAAAACACCATGGCAAGTGCTTATATGAATTTATTACATATTTATTTTCATTAAAATCTTTATTATAACAAGTAAAGTTTCATCAACGTATCATTTTTCCTTGAGTCATATTCATACGTTTTAGTGGCAAGCTGAAATAGGCAACAAAAAAATTTTAATTTGAAAAGCTCTAAGTAATATTAATATAGCATACCATTTTTTGGAACACACGTGTCACAACAATAACATAGCCCATCATATCGTCTGAAAACTTCGTCGGCAGTGCAATCTTCTTTCAGTTGAGGAGCGCATCGAACAGTCATACAATAATTTGGATCGCAAGGTTTGCATTGCCAACTAGACTCCGCAACGGTAATAATTGCAGCAGCGAAGAGTACAATAAAAATAACGAATTTCATCTTGAAAATTTGATTTGAACTGTTGGAATAACCCAAAAAGTTTTCCTTTTATAATAACGATAAAGGCAATTAAACGAAAATTAATGCAGAGTTCGTGACTGTTTAAGAAACAATCTTATCTTTTGTTGTATACGTAAATATATTGTTATATTATTTAAAGAACGTAACAAAGAAAAAAAAAATAAAAAATATGGTGTATAAATAAATGCAATTGAAGGTGATAACAATAATAGGAGTTCATTGAATCATTATGAACTATTATCGTATTCCAAATTGAATTTGATCAGTAAACGCGTATTTACATATACTTTTTGTTCGTTATGGATCTTCTAAGCACGAATTTGATTAAATCCAGCTACAAATTTTATTACAACATATTAAATCGATCAAATAAATATGCCAAGGTGAAAAAAAAGGACACGCACGAAAAATTATGACATAACGAACCAACCAAGTTGCCCATTAGGTTCGTGTTTAATATTGCTAATTTGAAACTGGAATTACTTTTTAACGGAAAACTTTTTTATTTATAAATAAAATATTTTACCTCGTAATCAAAAACTTAAGCTCGTAAAATAGTTCAATCAATTTATACCCTTACTTTCGACAAAAATTGTATCTCAAGAATCACTGGACGAAAGTGATTCTCTAGATGTAATGACGAAATTCACATCATTTTAAAGCAAATTTAATACAGATTCAAAAAAAAATTTAATTTTTATAAACATACTTGTTATTATTTTAAATATATTAATATTATTTATTTTAATATATTTTAAACCCAACTCGGTATATTTGATTATAGTTGAGAATGAAAATTTAAAATATCGTATTTCAAGTACAAACTGAGATATCACTTAAAATAAAGATTTAATGAAGTTCAAAAGTACCAAAAATCATTTCTTATTTTTCATAAACTTTGTTGTTACGATTTATTAGACCAAATTTAATAAATATGAATGTTTCAGATTTTAGGAATTCAAACAATCGTATCTCAAGAACGAATGTAGATTTAAGGATGAAATAAAAGACATTTTAAAGCAAATTTAATCAGGATTTAATGTGGCATAAATAATTTTTTAATTTCAATAAACGTTGTTATGATTTTTTTAAACCCAACAAATATGTAGACTTGATTATCCTAAAGTTTAAGGTAAAACTAATTGAGATATCACCAATAAAAATCAGTTTAAAACAAATTTCATGAAGATTTTATGTCTTATAAATAATCTGAGATACAAAATATAAACTTTAAAAAGTCGTATCTCAAGAACGAATGGAGATATTATCATGAAATAAAAAACATTATAAAGTAAGTTTAATGAAGATTTAATGTGCCATAAATAATTTGTTATTTTCAATAAACATCGGTTTTATGATTATATTTGATTGTTACAGACCTAAAATATCTATGAAAATGTCTATTAATATTAAAATAAAATAAACTAAGTGACATTTTAGATGACATTTTAAATGACATTTTAAATGATATTTTTATGGCGATTTATCTTAGCAACTGTGGTTAGCAACGAACTTGTTTGGAGTCGGTATAAGCTCCGTAATTTCTACGCCAAGATACGCGGAAAATAGTTTCAAGTAACTTTTATTTAAAACTTTTTTTAATATAAGTTGAAGTTTAGGCTGTATTATTCCATACTTTTTGTACACAGGGTATATTGATTGTTATAGATACTAAATATAAACTTTAAAAAGTCGTATCTCAAGAACGAATTGAGATATCCTCCTGAAATAAAGAACAGTTTAAAGAAAATTTGATAAAGATTTAACGCATCAAAACAAATTTCTTATTTTCCATAATCATAGATGTGATGGATTGTGTTGGATTGTTATAGATATCAAATGAGGCGTCTATTTGTAAAAGCGGCTACATCCATATTTTATCAAAATTCTACTAACAGTGGAAAAGTACACTGCAAAGCATGCTTCGTGATATGGTAAAGTCAGTTCGTTGAAAAACTGCTATATCTCACTTGGAAGTATGTTGCAAGACGGCTACATCCATAATTTGGCTTTACGCCTGCTCTGTACCGCGTGATACCTTGATTTTCGGCAGGGACAGCTGATTGCTCGTTGTGGCTGATAAAATAATTAAAAATGTTGCTATTGAACACTTTCTAAAAATGGAGAAAGGTGCCGAAGAAATTCACCCAGGCAAAGCACAGAAAAAAGTTAGTAATCCTAGCGAATGAAAAAGAAGCCAATAAAAAAAGCGTAGGTGTGTTATCCTTAGTTTATCTTTAATAGTAACGTAATGTTACATTTTTTTTTCGTCATAGATATATGACAACTTTGTGGCCTGTAATACCTAAATGTAGACATGAAACAAAGAATAAGTCACAAATATTCGGAACTGACCGACATCGAGTGTTGCTGTAAAAAGATGTGGATCTATTGCGCTGTTCGTGAAAATCCAAATCAGTACGTGTTTGTCGAAATGCATTTTTAGAAATATTAAATCTAAAAAAGCATTATGTTACATTGATTGGAAAGCCGCGTTTTAAACATTTATAGAACTTCCTGCTTAGTGGCACTTTAAATTTCAACCTACGATGCGATTTATTTTAACAAGGTCCAAAAAATATGAGATGCTGACACAAGGCGAAGTTGCTTGTAATTCAGAAGTTGAAGTTGAAACGAGGAAAGCAAATTAAATCGTAAAGTTAATGGAGATACCACGAGGGAAGAAGAGGATTAAAGATCAGAAGCTCCAAGATGTAGACACAATACTAAAAAAATATTATGGACTTAAATGGCATGATATTGATTGCTTAGAACATGACAAAAATATAATACCCGATAACGAACTATTTTGCTTCGTTACCAATACTGTTAGGTATGTTGTTTACTCTTTGGTAATCTTTGTACTGATTAAATGAATACACATACGGTATAACTCCATCTTTGCTTTTTTATTGTTATGCAGTACTATTTTTATCTGTGTACTTTGTTTCAAAACTAACCACATCACCTTCCTCAGTTGCAAAACCGGCATCATCCCAACTTCAAACATCAATGACACGTTTATTACTTGCAAAGGATTTTCTAAATTTTGCTTGAAGTTAAGTTCTATCACAACTAGTAGAATCCACATAATTAAAGACAAATCAACTTTTAGCCGCGTTTGCAAATAGACGCCTCAAATGTAATATTTCAAAAAATCGTATCTTAAGAACGAGTTGAGATATCGTCATGAAATAAAAAGCAGATTAAAGTAAATTTAATGGAGATTTAGTGTGCTTTAACTAGTTTCTTATTTTCCATAAACATTGTTGTAATGATTTTTTACCTAATTCCATTATGAAAATTAAATTTTATAATATATGTCTTTCTGACGTTATGTAACGTCACTTTTTTTATAACTAGTGATGTAATGATTTCATTATTCACTACAAATTGACAATGGAATTAGATAAAATTTTGTACTTAACACGTTATGAAACGGCTAATTTTGTTTAACTCACATAATATTACGCTCGTCAAACAAAATTAATCTTTTCATAACTGGTTATGTAAATAATTATTATATCTAACTCTCCATGTTTGATTGCTATAGGCTTAAAATATACCATTTTAAAAAATCAAATCTCAATAACGATGTGAGATATCATTATGAAATAAAAAGTAATTGAAATTAAAAAGTTATTGTTGTTTAAATTTAATGTATACCTTGGCAAGGAGTAACAAAAATAATATGCTTATAATAGGCTGCATTTACATTTATTGATTCATCTTTGATTTTACAAATATCGAAAGTGTAAGTGTTGAAAATTTAAACGATTCTTCTCCAGAGTCAAAGCCATTTTTAGCATTCTAAAATGAAAAAATATAACAAAATATTGTTTGATTTTTGTGTAATAAATTAATAGTTAATTTATCTTACCGTCATTTGGAACGCACACATCGCAACAGTAACAGAAATTGGTGACCATATCGCTCATTTCGTGGAAAGTTTCATTTTCAGTACAATTTTCACGTGGCGTATGGAAACAGCGAACTCGGGAACAATATTCTTCGTCGCAAGGTTCACATTGCCACGCCTGAGACGCCACTAAAGCGATGACAACGGCGAAAAGAATGGCAAAAAGAGCGTACTTCATCTTGAAAGATTCTGTTTGACTGTACGTTTTTAAGAAAAAAAAATTCTTTTATAGTAAGCGATAGGGTTATTACGAACAAAGTTTACGTAAGTGTACACGACTATTTTACGGTTTTTAAAAATAATCTTATCTCTTATGGCAACAGTAAATATTAGGCCGTACTAGTTATGGTTGTACCGCGATAAAATTCTAAGTCCGAATAATAATTCAATAAGCCTTTGCCAACAATCTATTGTTAAAATATCCTTTAATAACCCTAATATTGCGGAACAATTGTTTGTTCAGAAATTTGAGATCGAGTGGCAGATAACCAGCGCAAACTTGGATTGCTTGCGGTTGCCTTGGACAAAAACTCGTCTCAACTCTGGCTTTGTAGTGATAATAATCCCGTAAATTCGATTCCTGTTTATCCGTAGACGGCTCCATTGTGCCCAATACGCTCTGCTATTGTTCAGCGGTCACATTGCGATACCGTCGTGCAATTCGCCGTAAAATTTATGAAGATAATAAGTCGGGTTTACGATTACAATAAGAAAGGTTTTTCACCTTTGCAAGTTCAAAGTTTAAATAATTTTTATTAAATTTCCACCGCAGTATCATCAATGTTGTAACTATTCTTTTCAATGAGATTTTTGTTAACTGTAGTTAGCTAACTACATCCACATTTAAGTCACGTACCCGTTGGGCCGCTTTAAAATAAACTTTTTCATAACGAACGCTAATCCACGCAATGAATTTTAAATCGAGCGCGCGAAAAATCGTAATCCCTCCACCGTTAATTAGTTTTCTAACCTGTTTTACGGTGGCAACGCTATACCGCGTTGTGGCCGTTGAGTGGTAACATCACGCTCGTTATCGCTTGACGCAAAATTCGTGTTCGCGAACGATGAGTGAAGCTAATAGCTCAAACTTTATACCAACAAAAAGTCAACACTATAAAGCTCTATTAATAATTAGAAATTCCTGCAGATTAATTTAGATTATCTTCGTTCATGCTTTTCATTACCTAACACGACGCTATCTTTAAGTACAATCCTGCTTAACTTGATATCACTTAAAAGTTTTTACAAACTTTTTATCTTAAAATTTTTAAATGATTACAAAAGTTTCAATTTAATCTCTTCTTCATGTTTTTCTAACAGTAATGGTAAACAGATTAGAACTGCTGAAGTAATCAGAATGTCAACCCTCTTCTATAACACCAAAAAGTTTCAACTATTTTGGAGCAAACGATTTTTTTCTTTACGATAGCAGTTAACGTCTTAACGTATTTTTGCGTCGATATGATACGGATATAAAGCTTCGGCCGAAAGCGACATCGGCTTAATTATTATATTTATTCTTTATCAAAACCATGTCGTGTGAGCTCTCAAAGCTTAGTCACTGATTTTCATTGAAGACATTTTGGTAACGATTATAAAATCCACAAATCAAAATATCAACCTCATAATGAACAGATTTTCTAGGATAAGAAACGTCAGACAGATTGGAAGGTTTGCAACCAGTAAATAAAGTGACGGGGAGGGTAAGTTGCTAAGGTTCGGGAGGTTATGTGGGGTGCAAGACTTCATAGATGTTAAAAGGTATGTTACAGATATCAAGGGTTCGAGCACCTTCAAAGGGAAGAAATAATATGTGGACATTGTGGCGAGCTGGGCCACGAATACAAGAAATACTACAAGAAGAATGGTCCGACTACAAAGTAAGAGGGAAAGATGCGACTAATCACAATCGCTATAAAAGGTATGAAAAGTATAGGATAGCGATTGAACTAGTCTATGGATAGTGTTGCAACACTTGTACAGGGTATGAAATTAAGCACAAGTAGAGGGAGGGCTGCTACTTTGAACAATATGAATGTTGCGATAGAAAGGGGAGTCAATGTAGTAATGGTTTGGGAACCGTACATGAGGAAAGAGATATGGGAGAAGGATGACATAGTGGTTGGGAACGGTAAGTATACGATTGTATACTATAACTTGGAGTGCAGATTTAATCACAATCGATCAGGTGTTAGTGATAGAAAGATAAAACTAGGATATATGTGTGCGATGTGAAACCTATGGGAGAGCTACAGAAGAAGCTGGCGGTTGCATTGGGCGATATCAGCCATGCGCCGTTGATGCCATTAGCCTGATATTAAATGCCTTTTTTTATATTAAAGGCCTTTAATGCTACATACCCGTCGTTGGATAATTTCCTGATTAATAGGAGGGGTTAGATGTTAAACGAATGGACGGCACTGAACAAGGAAGAATTTGAACCAACGTTCCAAACACAAACAGAGCCCAACTGGATAGATATTATATTAGCGAAAGGAGGGATGTTCAGTGGACAGATGTGGACGTGCCTCCGTTAAGTGTGATCCCTCAGATTACATACTGATAGAGTGGAGCGTTATATTTGGTAGGGAAGGAAGAATTTTAGCGGAAAGAAGTAAGTTTGAGTATAGGAGACTCTAAAGGACTATATTAGAATGTTGAGTTTCCATAAGTAGGAAAGAGTTGGAAGAATGAAGATATACAGAAGAGCTGAAGACAGTTGAGGAGAGCAAAAAGAAATTATCACACCAGGAGAACGTTAGGTGGAAACACAGTGAGCGAAAAACAACAGTTTGTGGAATAGAGAGATTGGTTGACAAAGGAAGTATGGAGAGTAAATAGGGGTAGATGGAGAAGGAAGATAAAAGAGTAGGGAAGAAACATTGGAGGATATGTTTCAGCGGTAATTTCAGATTAACAGTGTAGAGGATGACTTTGCGCGACGAGAGCGAATAAGTGAAGAGGTGGTGGTGATAATAGAAAGGCATAGGTTGGACATGGGTAAGTGGATAGTAAAAAGAGTTAGCAAAAAGAAAATTGGAGAAGTTGTGGTATATATGAGCGAGGAAAAGACAATATTGCGGCATCAAAACTATCTTGGTGAAGATGACGTGGGAGATATTTAAAAGCGAATGGAAGGAAGTGATCGACGGATGCGTATCGGATGGTATGTTTCCAGAATATATCTTCCAAGCCAATACGATTGTTTGTTGTCATCGATAGGGTACTTAAAAGAGTGGCGCGGAAAGGTTGCTGGTGTAGGTGGATAGAGAGGGTCAGTTCGATGAAAGACCAGGGTCCAGGAGAGGAACAAGTACAGTGCAGGCTCCTGATGGTTCCGTAGGGAAATTGAAAGAAAGTAAGATCAATGGAATAAATGCCCTGATAGTGTCGTGGACGTTTAGAATGTAATCAACACGGTATGTGGATTATTAGGGTTTTGCAAGCGCTGCAGAAAATGAGGTGCGGGGTGGTAGTACACAAGATGAGTATGGTCTGAATGCAATGCAGAAACCTTTCTTATTGTAGACGCTGCCGACGGACACTTTACAAATAATGACGGGTTGTGCCAGGTGCGGATTTGGTCACCGGATTGGTCGCCGGATTGGTACACAGGAAATGGTTGAGGCTGAAGGAAGAACTTGAAAAACGAGATTCTCCATGCAATGGTGCTAATGCGATGTGAAACCGAAAGTGAAAGGATGGAGTCATTGCTGCGATGGTGGCTTTGTACGGTGAGAGTGAGCTGAGTAAGTGTTAAATACAGTTCGTAGATAGCTACGATAATTCAAGCGAAGCTATAAGCCATAAACTTGAGTGTGGAATGGGTGGGATCAACAGCGAAGAGTTGTTGTGTCTTCTTTAACGTCTTCTTTAACGACAACAAGACGACCGACGGTTGAATGATTGCGAAGAAGCAAACGGAGAAAGGGAAAGGTTAACGAGATAGTAAGAGTATTGGAGAGTGTGAGATAGTGGAACTGAGATGCAAGGACAGGGGAGAAGATGTTATGAGAAGAGTGGATAATATGGTAAGCAATGGTTTAGCGCAAGGAGAAGTTGGAAATGTGTGTATGTAGAATTATGTATAATATATATGAAAGAGGTAAAAAGCGTAGCATGGCCATGCCTAACTAGGGTATGCAGCCTCTGACGGGATATGGTCACTCTAATGTGTACTTAAATAAGTTTCAATTACCGGGTAGGATAATAGGGTAGTGTGTGTATGGACCACGATTTGCCTCCTAAAAAACTACTAGTAACATCGACTATGCCTTAAAAAGTAGGGGGAAGTCCCATAACGCCGGACAGCATACAGTATCGGACATTCGTAATATTTCGGCAAGTCGTAACGTGTTCATTCAAAAACGGGTAAAGGGGGTGCAGTGGAAACAAGGGATACATGATCGTGAGACGCGGTTTGCCTGTGACGCTAAAGACCACAGTGGGAGTAGTCGATTGCTGTTTTTAGAGGAAGTGCACTACGTCACATAAGATCTAAGTGAGTACTACTGCTATGATTTTTTGTTTAAGTGTTTATGGTTATTTTTAATAAAGGTAATGATTCATTATTATTCGAAAATCGTATTTATTTTTTTATTTCCAAAGAAGTTTTGGTATTGATCACGTAAGTTTCGGAATCGTCTGTCCCCTGGTGCCGGACACAAAGATGTCCCTTAACACCGGACAGTAAACAAGTTGTTTTTTCTCGGAAGTATTTATATTTGTTATAATAATAATTGTTATACGTTGTTTTAGAGGATAGAAGAACGGATAGAAATTGAAATGGAAGAAACGAAAAAGAAAGGAAAATGGTACCAACAAAGTTTAAAAGCTGCGGTAAATAAGGTTTTGTCCAAAAAAATGAGTTTAAGAGAAGCGGCGTTGCGGTACAACATTTCAAAAAGGACTGTACATGATAAGACGTCGTTATTGAATCGGGGACAAGAAGTGACATTGCAACCAAAGATGGGTAGATTCACTAACACCTTCTTACCCGAATACGAACAAATTTTAGTGGAACACGTAAAAGATTTATCCAATAGATGTCTGCCGCTGGTGAAAAAGGAATTTCTGAAGTTAGCTTTCGATTTGGCTGAAGCTTTAAAGATTCCTCATCGTTTTAATAAGGAGAAAGGTGTTGCCGGGAAACACTTTTACTACGATTTCATGCGAAGGCATCCAGATATATCGCTGAGTGTTCTCAGCGATATATGAGTCGACGAGCATGATGTGAGCCGTAGGGTTTAACAAACCACAAGTACATCTTTTTTATGATAACTTGGAAAAACTGATGACTCAATACAAATTTCAACCTTCCAATATGTGATATCCAATATCCAATACTGTGATGAAACTTGAGTGAGCTGCGTGCATAAACATCAAATAGTTCTTGCTCCGAAGGCTGTACGTCAAGTAGGAAAGCTTACTTCTGCTGAAAGGGGCAAAAATATAACAGTTTTGTTTTACATTAGTGTTATCGGCCACTTCATACCGTCATTTTTTGTATTTCCTAGGCAAAGGATGAATGATCGGCTCATGATTAATACTCCAGCTGAAAACGTAGGCGTGGCACAGCCAAAAGGATGAATAGTGATTTTTTCCTACAATGGTTGCAGCTATTCGGGAAACATTCACATCCGACTAAAGAGAGTCCTGTACTGGTCCTGTTGGACGACCATTGTAGCCATAAGACACTGGCGGTCATCAATTTTTGCCGAGAAAACAACATTTATTTGATAAACAGAACATTCATAAAGCCATTTAAGACTACCAACGATGCGAGATGTGGATCAGAGCAAATGCTGGATCTCGGATAACCGACTACGATATTGCTGGTCTGGTCAATCAAGCGTTCACAAAAGTAGTTCCAGTAGACATTGCGATCTCTGGGTTCAAATGTACAGGAATTCACAAATTCTACAGACATATATTTTCTGACCTGGATTATTTGCCTGCAGACGTGACCAATATTCCACTAGAACAGTCGGGAACTTCTTCAAACGCAGCAGGTTGCACCGGGGAAGTTTCCGTGTATTTCACTTTGGCTGGTAGCTCATCAACTTTCTGCGATGCAGAATTGTGTAACAATTTGGTGTCAGAAGAATCCAAAGACACTCCTAAAAGATCTCCCCGCAAACCAACAATCAGCAGTTCCAAACCATCAACGAGCTTTGAACCAAATATTGTCCAGTTTGTCCATAATTTATCCCCATTGCCCGATGCTTCCAAAAAACGATCAGCGGCTCGGAGGAGAAAATGTGAAAAAAGTGAAATTCTAACATCATCACCGTACAAAATTGCCGTCGAAGAAAAAGAGAATGGAAAGAACGTTAAAGACAAAAAGAAAAGATTGGGAAATAGGCGAGAAGGGGAAACAAACCAAAGGAATAAAAGTCAAAGGAAAAAGTGGAGAAGCAAAGAAGGAACCGTTAACTGAAGTATCTGACATTGGAAGAACTATTAGGCGTAGTGTGCTTAGAGGACCACAACGAAGACTGGATAGATGCAGGATGTTTTGAAAATGTCTGGTACTAGGTGCCGCTTGCAGTGATTGAAGTTTTTATTACCAAAGTTTAACATATGGTTCTAAGTATTCTTACGCAGAAGTTACGTTTCTTTCTTTACGTAGTTAATTCATAAATAAACTGACATTTGTCGGAGTAGTTTTTATTTTATTTTCTGAAAACATTAGGTGTCCGCCACCAGGGGACTTCCCCCTACATTTGACTTCGGATATAATATCTTCAACAACATAACTAACAAAAGAGGTTGATTCAATTTTGTGCAAATTTGTAGCCTTTCATTTTGTGATATCAAAAATTGAATAGAAAAGTATTAAAAAATTGTTTAAATATTTTTCGTCAATCATGTTTACTTTAAATGCAACTAAAATAAAATATGTAATTGTTTAGCTGTATTTTCAGAAAAATGCAAATTTAAATTGAGTTGTTTAAACAATTGGCTATTAAATCTAAATAATATATATATTTTCTGTTACCCACACAATCGTTTATTAAAAATGAGTTTTTAAAACGAATAGTTGCCTGAAATCGAGTGAAAATATTTATTGAAAATATTCAAACGGAACAATTTGTTGCTATATTTTATATTGGATTATAAAGCAATTTATATTAAAATATTTATGATATGGTACAATTTCAAACAGTCCTGCCATTGATAAAGTAATTTTTTTGTGTTATTAAAAATATGCGTTTTTGGGTGGTCACTATAAATTCTGAAAAATCGAATAAAACTAATGTATATTTTTCAATGTAATTCATTCAAAAATGTTTCAAACGAAAACGTTTGAAGACACGTAGAGAAATTCATTGTATGTGTATACAATGAAATCGTTTGATTTTAATTGTGTCGCAGTGGTAAGCCGTGATAATTTCTATTCGGGTAACGAGAATCCGTCGGCGCCGGGACGCACATTAAATCTGAAAGCCCTTTTAATAGTTCCCATAACGTTCCGGTAACCGTAGTAAAAATGCCATCGGCTCGTACAAAAGCTCCGCCGTCGACAACGTGAAACTTTTAATTTTCCATTAAACCGCCTCGTCCGTCGCGTCTGGACCGCTTCGCAATTTGCCCGTGACAACGACACTAATTTCCTTTCCTTTGATCAACTGTGGGGCTTGAACCGCCTCCGCTTCCCCTGCACCATTTCGATGACAGGCGGCAAATGAAACACCGATCCCGTTCGGATGCCTATCTAAAAAATGTCCAAAAAGAAGCGAAAACAAACGGCCGCATCCGATATTTAATTTTCCCTTTGACATCGACCAGTAGTGGATTTTATTCGACCAGGTGAATATGATAGAACGATTTATAAATTCCCTTTCGAAATCATAAATGGTTTTAAAATTTCACCCATTCTACAATTTCTGTTTTATTATTATTACTATTTCTTTCTTTGATAATAAAATTGTTTTATTAAAATTATTATTAGTATGGAATTTAAACAATGAAAGTAGAATCGGTGGTGGGATTATGAGTTTATCGTTATGGAAAACTGAAATAACACAACTGTTGAACCGTACAAACGACGTTCAGCTGAAAATCCGGCACATTCGTATTCAGCAGCACAGACGGCTCATATAATAAAATTCCTTCCACGCGATTGCAAGCAAATACCATCCCAACTACATTAATATTAGCTCCATCTTCACGAATGAAAACGCCGAGCCGTGGCCTCATCACGTTGTCTGCATTGAAATTCTCCCGAGCATTGCATCTTCTTTATTGGGGTAGTAGCTTCTTTACATAACATAAAACAAAGAAGGTACTCAGCATAAACAGTTTTAAAACCCTTTGAAATCAAGATCTTATAACGTTATAACATTCACTAGTTTTAATAAATTTTTAAATAGATTTACATTAATATAAATAGAATGCATCCTGTGTACGGAAACAGGTTCAATTTATCAAACAATAACACCTATTTCATGGAAGGCCGTGCCGAACCATCAGTTGATGCCGGAAGTGTTAAATAAAACGAAAGCTGGCGAATTTAATGAAAACGTCAGGACCGCATAATCACGGGTTGGACCGAACGCGATTTTGACGTGCGAATATTTCCAATAGTCCGTCTGCCCATTTTAATGGAGTATGACTGCGGCTATGGGAGAAACATAAATTTCGATATTTGCCCCTCCAAACTCTGGCGATTATTTAATGCAATCCGTTTCGAGCTTTTGTGTCGAAATGCAGGTCGTGCGACCGACCGCGGGCGGTATAATCAAACCAGCACCCCTAAATTTCAATTAAACGCCGAGTATCACTTGAAAATATAACATCGTTCAAACTTAAACTAGATTGCGGAGTTATTGTTGGTTTAATTGGTAACGGGTATTGTTTGTCAATACTCTTCATAATTAAATAAAATTGTTTGATTATCTTAATTTCAAACTAAAGTTGAAACCTCTACCTGAAAACTCTCTACCTATTCGATAATTATGATGTACGTTTAATTTATTCTCATTGATTTGCAAGATAAAATATTTACCTTTGCCGTGGAAACGGCAGTATGTTCCGTACACAGTTGTTTCAACTAACAAGTATGCAACGAGTTTGTTCTAACAATGGTACAAATTGCGCATTACGTTTTTGCATTCTGATGTAAAACTCGATCTCATGACGGCTACGATTTAACACAATCGAATGATCTTTGATTTCACTATGAAAATACTTTGCAGAAAGTCTTAATTTGGTTTAATCTCTGATGCGGTTTAGTTGGTACGAACCTTTATTGATGTCTTTTTTGTTTTTTCAGTGCTTGCAACATTTTTCTTTAAGTAATAGACTAGCAATAGTATTCATCAACATTTTCTCAACCAACATTTACCAATAGAATACTTGATATCGCTATATATCGTCCACATCTAAAGAGAATTTATCACAAGACATTGCTCAACATTTTCCTCATCATTTATCAACATCATACTTCTATTGCTTAACATCGTGATACAACTTATCATAAGCATATCCCTCAACTACAGGAGATGTCGCTGACATCTCGCAACATATCTGTATTATGCTTTAATATTATTTTGGCCAGTCCAATATTCTATTGGAGATAGGGCTTGCAATACCGGACCAAAATCTCAATACCGGTATTCGGTATTCAAAATTTTTAAAACCGGGATACCGGTATTAATACCGGTATTACTATAAAAAAGTTTACTCACTAAATTACAATCACTAAATATATCTAATTGTAAGAATTTTTTCCCTCTGCGGCGTCATCTCTACTAACAACAGGTTAATTCCTACTATATTTTTAGATTGGTAACAAAGCATAAGATACAGAATCTGAGAAGATAATCAAAAAATGGAAAGATATTAGGAATCTGTACAAAGTACCAATAAACTTAAAGGTCTGGATAATACTATTGTTTTGTTGTCTTTCACTTGGTCCAAAGGTTCAACTTTACTACCGCGTCAAAAAATGAAATTACACTTCATCATCTGAAGCTCTGTGGAATTCTTCCGATTGTCCGGTATCCCGGTATTGCAAGCTCTAATTGGAGATAATCTAATAGACTACACAGGGTGTTTCACTTAAAACTCCAAGTATCTCTGGAATGGGTTGAGATATCTTAGTTTTGTAAGAAGTTGCTGTTGGAGTACGTAAATGACTTCAGTTCTTAAGTATTGTTATTGTACAAATATAGAGATATAGAGAAATATAGAGAAACTTTTTCTTCATCACAAATTTTTTATTAGGTGCATGTGATAGAGCATCTAAAACTGTGCAACTTTCGTGGTCACAACATTATTTTTTAACATAAATCACAAAACAACAAAAAAAAATCAACAAAATAAAAAACAGAATTACACTCTAGGTTACCGAATAAATTTTTCAACATAATAATTGTTGGAACAACAAAAAACCTTATAATAACTCCAAAATTACTTACATTTTCATGGACGCACAATTTGAATCGTTTTGCCAATTCAACATTACATACTCTGCAGCACTATTAGTATCAACCCATCGTCTTGTTGAAGCCACGCTGGTATTTTTAATGCATCCAGTAAAACATTCAGCAATTCAGGAAGGTTGTTCTGCATAAACTCCAGGTCACGGTGACTTATTGATTAAAAGGTTGTTTGATTATTTGTTCGTACGGTCCAATTAAGATTATCTGAAGACCAATATCGATTGTTTTGCTTGCTTACTATTCCATTATTATGGAAACTACTTTCGTTGCACCACAGAGTGTTATTGAGAAAGTTATCTCTTTATGCCAAAACTGAAAATTTACCCAAAAACTGAACTCAACGGATATCGTTGCCTGGTTGTAAATGTTGAACAGAATTGCACTTATACGGCAAAAATTTATTTGTTTTTTAAATTCGATAACATGTAACAGAAATTTGCGTGTTCTCTTAGTTAACGCAATGATTTATGCGAGTTGTCAATATTAAGGTCTGGAATTAGTCTACCGGGATATCGCAGTCTTCATAATCGTACCGCTTCCAACGAATTTCGGCGACATTCAACATAAATTAAAATCATATTGAACTTATCTTCTTAATAGTCTCAGTACTAATACTAAATATCTTCGAAACTACTAAGTTTTTCAAATCTATAAGGCAAGTTGCACAGTTTTCGATATTTTATCACTTGCCCCAATAAAAACTATTTGCACAATGAAAAATAACCATACTTAACAACTGAAGTCATTTACGAACTCTAGTAACAACTTACAAAACTACAATATCTCCACCCATTCCAGAGATACTTGGCGTGGGAGTTTTAAGTGAAACACCCTATATAACAGACCTCTCTTATATCTCTAAATATCGTCCCTGATATTGCATAATATAATCATTCTAACATCTCTTAATATCGCCCCTAACATTTTTCAATACTACCTTCGTCTCCCTCAACACCTTCTTCATTATCTATCAATATCGTCCTTCATACAT